GATGTCTTTAGAATTCTCTCTATTATAGGCATGTATCTCTGGAATTTAAATATTTATCTATAGCCCATGTCATGGCCCTTTTTTAATGGGGAAATCAGCTGAGCCAGTTTTATATTTTTGAATGTAAGCAAAGCTTACTCTGTAGTTGTACACAGAACTACTCTAAGGTTTGTCTCATGATACCTATACTCCTTTTGGTATGATTCGCTACTTAAAAATGTTAAAAATGACAGAAAGTTGGTCTTCCACCAACATTATATTCCAAAAGATGGAGTTACTCTTTTCCTTTAATTTCCTCACATATAGTTAGCTAACCTCATTAGAGGTTTATTGTGCTTAGACTTGATTCTATTGCCTCGCTCTATATTCTGCCTTGTAGAATCAGTTGAGTCTGAACTGATTGTTTGCAATTTGGCGCTCCTCTTTCTTGTGCCGTACTTTGGTCTCTGAATCTGTCAAATATTACCACAAGTGTTCTTATATATTATATTCTGTGTCAGTCATTGGAGATGTCAGAGGCCGAGGCTTAATGGTGGGGATAGAGCTTGTCACTGACAGGAAAGAGAAGAAGCCTGCGAAGGCAGAAACCATAGTTTTGTTCGAGAAACTCAGAGGTATCAACACACTCTCCCAGCTCGTAGTATAAATTCTTTCAATGATCCTAAGTTAAATTACATTTATCTCCATGAATTCCTTTCTGCATACTAATCATAATTTGGTTATTGATTGAAGAGCTCGGAGTTCTAGTTGGCAAAGGGGGACTACATGGAAATGTTTTTAGGATAAAGCCACCGATGTGTTTTACCAAAGATGATGCAGGTACTTTTTTGTCTTAGGCTTGGTATGAATTAGCCCAAATGGTAACTGGAAAGCATTCTATGAGCTGAGAGACAACAGCCTAATCAACACAAGACACACACACACACACACACATTATGTATACATGTGAATATAATAATTATTTTCCCTGCCCCCTCCCTAGCGAATGACAAAAAAAATAAATAAAATAAAAAAAATCTAATAAGTTCCATAACTTCTGCCCCGAAGGAGATCCTTCAATGAAGACATGTTTTTCAACTGTTACACATGAATGGTTGATATGCATATTTACTGTGAGCATGCATTTGGGTGTGTGCGTGTGGTGACGTATAACAGATGAAATAATTGTTTTTGGGTTGTGTTTTTTTGGTTGAGATACGTACTTAGGTTAAACTTTTTTGTCTGCAGATTTTCTTGTCGATGCTTTGGACTACTCCATGTCAAAGTTGTGAGGGCTAATACATGAAGAACCAAATGATATTGTGGTTTGTAAAGATCTTTCAATAATGTAAAGTTAAATTCCTAGAGTTTGTGCTCATTTAACATGAGAAATAGCAGCTTGCTCATATCCCTGAAGGTGTCTAGCAACCGTTGGATGAAATCGATCCATGTACGATGAGTGAGGACGCCAATCTATGCACCAAAATGGATTCCGCTAGCTTATAATTAGAGGCCATTAAGAAAGCGAGATAAACATTTTTCTCCTTTTGTTTGGTTTATCAAGTTCATATTTGCAATTCAAGTACTCCAACACTCACATGGAAGAGGGACTACCTACATGAGAATGTTTTTGAGTTCTGGTTTTTCTTCCTCCAAAATGTCACCTCAAAGTGGAAAAG